GTGCAAGTGAGATATAACGTGTTTCTATTTAAACAGCTAAAATTAATATTTTAGAAATTGAAAAATCAATTGTACTTAAGTAGAGTGTACGGCATATCTCTTAAGTCCCGTTTACACTAGCGATTTTTGCGGCGATTTTKCGGCGATTTTTGCTACGATATTGTCCATGATAAATAATGGTAAAGAATTTACTTGTAAAGTTTTTTCCAGGATACCAAGATTTTCCTAGACGAATATCTCTTTTGAAGGATGAGACAAAAGATTTCATATTTCCGAAAATTGCCACAAAAATCGCAGCAAAAATCGCCATAACTCAGAGGTGGATTATTACTAACCTGCTTTTCAAGCGTGACCAGAAGGATCATCCATATTGCGTTAGCAATAGCAAACACCATGAGCACCGAGTCACGCAAGTCTTCTAGTTTCTCTTTCAGCTCCGTCACGGCACCAAATATGGCAGATTCTGGAAGAAGACAAGCTTCACGCAATCCTTTCCAGAAGTTGTATTCAAGCTCTTCGTCTTGATTGATTACTTGTAGCAACTGACAAGAAATTTTGCTAACTGCTTCTCGCGCATGACGGATTTGTCTTTGGGCTGAAAAGAGGATTTTAAAAAACATTTTGTTTTTGTCATGTTCCTCCATGTCACCCAAACCTCTTTGGGAAAAGCTTATGTATTTGCACCATCGCGTGCCGGCAATCTTAATACAGCTTGGGGTGCCTGTGGTTAGGTGGCAGAACAATAAAATCCCTTTGCTCTTGGGAATTGAATTCTTTCTCATGTAAAACGATTGTATTGTTCCTGCCATCTAACATGGCTGCCGTCACGTGATGGTGCAAGACCTCTATTAGAATACACTCAATTGAAGAATCGTTGTCGGGTTCAGAAACATAGAACATAAAAGCTGAGACCAAAATGGCACATGGAAAATGACATAATTATATTATAATTTATTCATTTGCGCCATCCATGCAGTCGGTTTAGAATGCCAAACGCGTATTAAAAACAGTGGATGATGCCACGGGTCTCCGAACACAGCATGTATCTAATTAACGTACTTCCCATGTGCCATTTCGGTCTCACCTTCTATGTTCTATGATTCTGAACCCGACAACGATTCTTCAATTGAGTGTACAAGCTTTTTCAGTAATATAATAATCAAGAAAATGACATGTGATTTTCTTTTAGCGCCATGTTTCCCCACATAATAGCGTATACTTGGTACCAATCTTTCCGTGGGAAGACGCCACAACCAAGTATTCAAAATGGCGCCCATACTTCTAAAAGAGTGTATAGAGAGTTTTTGCACGTGACGTCACAGCAACCATGTTGGTGTACCAAAACAATACATTTTTATCCTCAGGGAATTGAACTCTATTTTTATGCAAAAACTGTGCAGAAAGTTTTGATGGTGCTTTTAAGTCGTGACGTATTTCCGGCTCCAATCACACAAACGATCGCTAAAATCTTGCCAGCCACAACTTATTCCCAGGATTCAAGCATTAGATATATGAACAGAAAATCCTGAGAAAAAATATCTCTGGAAGTATAATTATTAATTTGGACCCGGAAGTAGTTTTTCGTTCGAATTACGTCACACTTAACAGCTCTATTGTTTGGTAACGTACACCAATATGGCTGCCTTGTCACGTCAGTGAAAACGTTCTATAGAGGTTTTGCACCATCACGTGCCGGCGCCCATAATCCAGCTTGGACTGCCTGTTGTTAGATGGCAGAACAATATAATCCCTTTGATCTCAGGAATATATAGACACCTTGCACTTATTCTCTATCCAGGGAACGAAACAATTAAGTTTTCTTCTCTTGAGGTTTGAAAACATTTCTCATGTGAATTTTCACTGTTTTATCCCCCCAGATCGACGTCACACGCAAGGGGTCTATAGACCGCTTGTAGCACGTCGGAATGCAGCTCAATTTGGAGGGCAAAACAATAGGTTTCCAATTCTCAGGAGATTAAAATTCTATTGCTTTGTCCTCCAAAGTAAACTCATTTGTCGTTACATGCAAGGGGTCTATTGGATGCTTTCTCTTGGAAAACGATTGTATTGTTCCTGCCATCCAACATGGCTGCCGTCACGTGATCGTGCCACTACCAACCACCAACCTGGTGTCGGGTACTGCAGGTTTTTAATGGCTTTAATCATCTTGGCCACGTGTGCTGGTTTGGTGATTTGAAGGTCATCTTTCAAGGTGCTCTTTAGTGTCTCACTGTCCATGGCCTTCAACTCTTCCAAGGTCCTTGGATTCGTGTATCCATTTGCTTGGAAATACGACCAGTAACTCTCTAGACCCAACTCATGTAGCCAATCATCGACACTTTCCTGATGCAAAAAAGCATATGAGTGTTAATGCTGCATTCATAATGTATGGCAAGGGGAGGGGGGGGGGG